TACATTCATAAATATAATCCTACAATTTTCTATTACCACCCAAAATAGCAGGGCGTGAAATGTGTCTTCTATAAGTAAATTTAAAAATACATTTTTCTCCTACTATATATAAATGATCTAGAAAATAATCTTCTTTAAGAAGTCGTGCGACGCATTAATCACTCCCCAACTAATAAAGGACCTCATGTAGTTCAAGTGCACGCCTTTGTAGAAAGAAGTTAAGCTTCGATTCCTGGAGATGTAGACCTCGCGAGTCACAGCCAGAAATCTCTCATAGTTGCCGCCGATCTTCGACTGCATGTGTATCTTGATTACATTCATTGGATAAAACACTGTGCTGGTGAAGCCGCCGATCAGAGCGCCGCTGACAAAGTTTGTCATCAGCGACTCCTTTTCGCCTAGCAGTACCTTCGACTGATCCCGCAACGTGAAGAACATCAGATTGGATAAGCCGTTTCTGTATATGATAGGAACCATACCGCGATAACATTCAGTCACTCCGTGATTTGACAACAGATACCTGAATGCATGGGAGGTATTCTTGAACTTTTCGTGATATCGCCAATCCTGTAGCAACGTTTGTATTCTTTCAAACGGCATGAGGAGAGCTTCCACCGTACCGGCTACATTCGCCGCTAATATTTTAGACAGTACATCGTTTCCAGTTAGCAGACAGAGCCTCTGCTTGCATCCTTCATATACGCTGAACATCAAACTGAGGGACAAAGTCTTTTGACATAGAGGCGGCAAAATTCCACGATACAGCAAATGTATTCCCTCTCGAGATATCTGCCCGACCGCGGCATCCACAGGTACGCCTTCCAAAATCTGAATATTATAACACAAATAATGTTTATATAGATATTTGAAAATTACAGTAGTATTTGTTAATCCCAGATAAAATATAATAGTTGTATTAAGTCTGTTTTTGTAGCTGACTTTAAAGAGCTCTTTGCATTAACAGTGAAATACAATAGATATATGTTTGATATTTATATTTATATGTTTGAACAAGAAGTTCAGTCCAATGCAATAATAAATGAAAAACCTAATGCTAATCCATAGGACTTTGTCATAGGTTTGTTTTCTGTAGTTAAAAACTAGTATATAGAAAGTGAGACTTTTAGAAGTTAAAGTGAAATAGATATTTAGTTTGATATTTAGTAAAAGTAAGAAAGAAAGTTCCAGTACAAAACTAGAAAAACAGACCTTATAACTTTATTTATCATTTATAAGTGAATTTATAAGTAATAAATTAGGTCACAAGTATGTCTTTATGATACTGTTATGACATTTAGATTCTATATGAGATTCTATTTATACTATACAAGTACCTGTCTAAATATAATTTTATTAATTGGATATGTGACAGAGACATTGATGACAGCAGCGCCCCAACCACAAAAAAATTCTTTAACATCACTATCATTGAGTCTCAGGACCGAATGCAATGGAACCTTCTCCGACGTCACGTTACTCATATTAGACTAATTTTTAGGAACAATAGGTACATCCGAGAAGAAAAACATTCAATTGTTCTAATTCTAAATGTATTTTATCTCCATCCAATGATATTCGTGAGTATTGCATTTTGAACCAAGTATTCTCTATCTGAAAGAATAACAGCAAATATAAATTATCATTGATGTCTAGAACACTTGTCTTTATCTTTCAGATTTATGCCAGAGGCATAATTATATAACATTTAGTCAGCTTTTTAAATCTATATCTAATTCTTATTATATATATATATATTATTATCCATTTTTATTTACATTATAAATACATATTATATGTGTAATCTATTATTTACATATAATATATGTACTTTTACATTAGTGCAATTTTAACGTACATAAATTTATGTCTCTATACAAATATACCTATTCTCATTTTTTTGTCTGATCAATAATAAAGCATTACATATTCGGATAATACAAAAGGATAACAATATAAATCTTTGATTATATTATATAACCTAACCTAATCGTATCACACGTGTTTACGTATTTTCACCTACTTCTAATTTACGTTTCATTTACTTTTTACCAATCAATCCATAATTATAAGATATTTAAATCGTTCGGAGTTTCAGGTGTCGTTTCAATCGTGCTTGAGATTACTCACGACTCTTTACATCACGATCTTATCATCACTAAATTTTTAATCCAACTTCTGTCTGATAGACTAATTCATGTCACCTGATGTCTGTTTCACCGATCACAGCTGATTGCAGCTGATCAATGTTCGTCCATAGATCTACTATTTACTCGATATACTCAAGAGTGGTATACTCTATAAAGTGTAGGAACTCCATTTATTTCTTTATACTTGCTGTACGATCCAAAAAAATATGTATTCCTATTCTATAATATTTTTTTGTACCTAATAATAATAATTAATGTATCTAATAAACAATATAATCTCATACGTTTATAATAATAATATAAAAATTATATATATAAGAATTAAATTTTTATAAGATGTGTTATATAATAATTAGCAATCATAATTCCATACCTCCCTTAATAAAGGGGATCCTATACCTGAAGTCGTCTGTATTATCGACTAAACCATATAATTTTTGTATAACAATTACTTTTTTCCAGGATTACAATGTACACGTGTAATACGTGTCTGTGAGATGGAGTCTACTGAGAACACCAAAAAATTTCAAAATTGAGATCTTCTTTACCATTTCTTAGTCCAATATAGTGCTTCGAAGCTGTCACATCCTAGGTTTGTCGCATCATATGCTCCAATATGCTCCTATTATAGTTCCTACTCTAATACATTTATTAGAATGAATAGGAACTATGGCAGGAGCATGTTGGAGTATACGACGCGACAAACCTCTCGACAACATTTGTGTCTCTTGTTGGAAGGCATCTTTTTAACATCCATAGTACGAAACTGACCAATCACAGTCACTCTATTCTTCAGGGGAATAGCTATGATTGGCTAATTTCATATGGACTAAACCTGCTATATAAACGAGTCATTGGGCGAGTTCAAAACGGCTTAACGAGCGATTGAATATGATTGGTTGAATCTATAAGTAACAACCAATTATACTAATTTGCTTGGCAAGCAGACTAGCCGCTTTGTCAACTTGAACGAGCCCGTTAGAAGAGCATACGTCATTAATCCAACCCAGGATATCTTTCCTTGCGCAAGGAAATCCCTTCCACCATGATTCAGTCGCATATAACAAACGGCGGAGTTAGTGTTTCTGAGTAGTTTGTACTGTACATCTTAAAGCTTAACAATAATTGTCTTGCCATTTTTAATCTTTATTAGTGCAAATATCCGTTCGGTGATAAGTACGTTACGTTATACAATGCTTCGCATCGCTAAGATTTTTTCATCAACCGCCCAAAATATCAATAAGGCCATTGAGGCACCCTTGGCATTCAACATCACGTCCAGGTGAAATGCCATTGTCATGTTCATTTCACTCGAGCAACCTGTTGCCAATTGGAGCAAACTTCCAATTAAGAAAATCATATTCATCTTCTGACTGAATACATTTAAATTGCCGATCGAATTTCGATTCGCTTGCAACGCAATATGCTTGTTATTATGTAGAATAAATAAAAACTCGATTTTTAACTTAATCGGCTCGCAATTTACAAAATTTGCATGATGTGCGTGACATTTAGCTTCGATCGCGAATGATTGATAAAAGATTAATTTATACGTACATCAATTTGTAATTCCATGTTGATATTTTTAGTTTTAAGCGTGTGCGTCTGACGCAGTCTGACGTTACATGAACTTTGGACTGTGCTCTGTAAATATGCTTGTCGAACATGTATTCATACATGTACGCATCGCATACGCTAGGTATTACGTTCTGTATGTTTATCTATAAATCTATAGATATCAACACACAGTTATTTAAATACTTGATCCGTATGTTACTCATCAGGTCCTAAGTTCACAGATTCTAAACATCTAAAGATAGGAGACTGAAACGTGTTGCCTATTCTAGCCAGTATATTATCATACACTGGAAAAAGAATCTGGTTGCATTAATTGGAATTCTGATTGAAAATGGACAAATTAGAACTTTCTAGTTGAATCTATTATAATTTTAGTTGAGATTATTAGAATTTTGATTACGATCAGAATTTTCTGGTTCGTTCATGTTCAATCTGAAACTTTAATCAATTTATAATAGTCGAATTTTGTATTTAAATTGTCTTAGTTTAATTTTAAGATGCTATAAATGAAGATGTAAAAAATCACAGCTGTATTAGAATCTTACAGTCAAAGAGTAAGAAGAAAATTTAGCAGAATTAGACTTAGTCGACCCCAACTAAAAATAACATAACATCAATATTTCGTATTTAAAAATATAAATGTAATATAATACATGATGTTACATAACAGTTATATATATATATATTGTTGTATATGAAATTACAATATCGACGATCTTTAGTTAATAATCTTTAATTAGTGTCGACTGGGAACTATGAATACTGACCTAAGATTCCTTTGTATAATAAAAGAAATTTCAAATTAAAATAAGAAGCAGAAGAATCAATTCAATATATGTGTAACATCACAGTATAAGTATATATTATTTTACAAATGGAAAATACAATTGGAAAGGTGACGCGGATGAGATTATATTTATTTATAAGATGACTCGATATATAAATAATACAATGATATTCTAAACATTAAAAAATTTTTGATGTAAGGAAAAACGACTTCTTTTCTAAACATATTTTGAGGTGCTAAAGTCAAATCTGTTATCAGAAAAATTTAAATTTTAAGATCCTTTTATGTCATGTTAATTGTAAGATTAGTATTTCTTTTTAAATAACTTGAATGCGACAAGTGATGAGTAAGGTGAATATTTTCATCAGAATTTAATAATCAGAGATATTGGGACGAATCCAGCAAACG